CTGGTCATTGGGTCTGGCTTTTCTGAGTAGGACCTTATTTATTTTAATTCATTTATTGGATGTGGGCATGACTGACAAGACAGCCTCTACTGCTCACCCCTAATTGCACGAGAGAACATGGTGAAGAGCTGCTGCCCTGAACCACTGCAGTCTATATGGTGTATAATAACGCACAGTTTTGTTAGAGAGGGAATTCCCCACAGTTTTGACCCAGTTACAGTGAAGGAAGAGTATTATAGTTCCTAGCCAGGATGATATGTGATTTTGAGGGGAACTTGCTGGTGGTGGTGTTCCCATCAGGAAGTGATGGTCGAGTACTGTTGCTGCTAGGCTAGTAATCCTGAGATCCAGGTAATATTTGGGGGACATGGGATCAAATCCCAGCAGAGCAGGTAGTGGAATTTGAATTCAATAAAGATCTGGAAGTCAGTCTAATGATGCCCATGAAACCATTGTTGTAAAAAGCCACCTGGTGCACTAATGACTTTTAGGGAAGGAAATCTGATGACCTTACCTGGGCTGGCCTACATGGGACTCCAGATTCTTAACTGCCATCTGAAAAGTACTAGCAAGCCATTCAGTTGTACCAGCGGTTAGAGACATCTCTCAGCAGCTAATGCCAATGGGAGAGCTGTCTCACAGACTGCTCAAACAACATCCTGACATAGCGACGCTCACAGAATTGTACCTTAAAAACAAGATCTCTGACAACATCATAACCAGCCAGCAGATGACATGACACGCTGGTCTACAGTTGGGGGGGATCTTCAACATCTACTACTAAGCGTGGTTCAGCAACACCATTACTGACTGACCTGGTCAAATCCTAAAGGACACAGTTGCTAGATTTGGGTCTGCAGCAGATCAACAGGGACCAAGCTACTTGTCCACATCTTCAACAATCTGCCTGCTGCAGATGCTTCTGTTCTTTATAGTATTGGTAAATGTGAACACCACACAGGCCCTCTGGAAAAAAAAAGTTTCTCTTTACATTCAGAAAATCCTCCATCATGTGTGGCACTACCAATGTGCAAAATGGAACAAACTTTGAACAGATCTAACAATTCAAGACAAGGAATGCATGAGGTGTTGTGGACCATAAGCAGCAGCAGAATTGTACTCCAATCCAATCTGTAATGTCATGGCAAGCCATCTTCCCCACTGTACCGTTACCATCAAGCCAAGCCATTGACCGTGGTTCAATGAACAGCGCAGGAGAGCATGCCAGAAGCAGCACCAGGCATAGTTAAAAATGAGCAGTCAACCTGGTGAAGCTACAAAACAGGACTACACGTGTGACTAACAGCATAAGCAGCAAGTGATAGACAGAGCTAAGCAATTCCACAACCAATGGGTCAGAACTGAGCTCTGCTGTCCTGCCACATCCCGTTGTGAATGGCGCTGGCCAATTAAATGATTCACTGGAGGAAGCTCCTCAAATCTCCCCATCGTCAATGATGGAAGAGCCCAGCACGTCAGTGCAAAGTTAAGGCTGAAGCATTCACAGCGATCTTCAACCAGAAGTGCGGATTGAATGATCCATCTTGGCTTCTCTAGTGATTCCCAACATTAAAGATATCAGTCTTCAGCCAATTCAATTCACCATGTGATATCAAGAACTAGTTGGAGGCACTGGATACTGCAAAGGGTACGGGCCCTGAAAACATTCCCAGAATAATACTGAAGACTGGTGCTCTAGAACCTCCTGCTCACCCAGCCAAACTCCTCCAGTACTGTTTAACACTGGCATTTATCAAACAATGTAGAAAATCACCATGATACGTGTTAGAGTCAAAAAGCAGGACAAATCCAACCCAGACAATTAGTGCCCCTTGGGTCGACCCTTATCGATTAGTAAGGTGGTGGAAGGTTTAATTAATAGTGCTACCAAGTAGTATATACTTACCAATAACCTGTTCACTGATGTTCAGTTTGTGTTCTGCCAGAACCATCTGATTTCTGATCTCATTACTGTTTGGGATCAAGCATGAGCAAAAGAGTCGAATTCCGGAGATGAGGTGAGACTAACTGCCAATGACAATAAGGCTGTATTTGACCGAGTGTGGCATCAAGAAACCCGAGCAAAACTGGAGTCAACATGAATCACAAGGAAACTCTGCTGGTTGCAGTGAAACCTGGCAACAAGGAGGTTGATTGTGGTTGTTGGAGGTCAATCATCTCCACTGGAGGACAGTTCTGCAGGAGTTCAACCAACCATCTTTAACTGCTTTGTCAATGACTTTCCCTTTGTCATAAGGCTGAAGTGTGGATATTTGCTGATGACTGCCCAATGTTCAACACCACTCATATCTCCTCAAATACTGAAGCAGTCTATATCCAAAAGAAGCAAGACACACACAATGTCTGAGTTTGGACTGACAAGTGGAAATTAACATTCGAACCATACAGGTGCGAAGCAATAACCATTTCCAACAACAGACCCATCACACCTTGCCATTCAATGGCATTACCACCACCAAACCCCTCCCCCCCCCATAATCAACACCCTGGAGGGTTACCATTGACCAGAAACTGGACTGAACTAACTGTCTAAACACTCTGGCTACAAGAGTATGTCAGAGGCTAGGAATTCTGAAACAACTAACTCACCTCCTGACTCCCCAAAACTTGGAGACTGAGTAGTAACATTAGATCACATGGGATCCAGGGAGAGATAGCCAATTGGATACAAAATTGGCTTGATGGTAGAAGACAAATGGAGGTGGTAGAGAGTTGGTATTAGAACTGGAAGCCTGTGACCAGCAGTGTTCTGCAAGGATCATTTCTGGATCCACTGTTGTTCGTCATTTATTTCAACGATTTGGATAAGAATATAGGAACTATGGTTAGTAAATTTACGGATGACACCAAAATTGGTCGTACAGTGGACTGTGAAGGTTTTCTAAGAGTACAATGAGATTTTGATCAGATGGGCCAATGGGCTGAGAAATGGTAGATGGAGTTTAATTTAGATAAATGTGAGGTGTTGCACTTTGGTAAGGCAAACTAAGGCAGGTCTTACACAATTAATGATAGGCCCCTGCTGGGGAGTGTTGTTAAACAGCAGGACCTAGGGGTGCAAGTTCATAGTTCCTTGACTATGGCATCACAGGTAGGCAGGGTGATGATGGCGACATTTGGCACGCTTTCCTTCATTAGTCAGAGCACTGAGTATAGGAGTTGGGACATCGTGTTGTGGCTGTACAGGACATTGGTGAGGCCACTTTTGGAATACTGTGTACACCTCTGGTTGCTCTGCTATAGGAAGGATGTTGTTAAACTAGAAAGGGTAATGGAATAATTTACAAGGATGTTGTCAGGACTGGAAGCTTTGAGTTATAAGAAGAGGCTGGATAGCCTGGGTCTTTTTTCCCTGGACCATCGGAGGATGAGGGGTGACCTTATAGAGGTTTATGAAATCATGAGGGGCAGAGATAAGGTGAATAGCCATGGTCTTTTTCCCAGGGTAGGGGAGTACATAACAAGAGGGCATAGATTTAAGATAAGAGGGAACAGATTTAAAAAGGACCCGAAGGGCAACTTTTTCATACAGAGGGTGGTGCACGTATGGAATGGGCTGCCAGAGGAAGTGGTAGAGTTGGGTACAACCACAAAATTTAAAAGACATTTGTACAGGTACATGAACAGGAAAGATGCAGAGAGATATGGGCCAAATGCAGGCAAATGGGACCAGTTCTCTTTAGGATACCTGGTTGGCATGGATAAGTTGGACCAAAGGGTCTGTTCATGTGCTGTATGACTCTGTAACTCTCTATGTGGATGATTGCAGTTCCAACAACACTCAAGAAGCTTGACACCATCCAGGACAAAGCAACTCACTTGACTAGGACTGCATCCACAAACATCCTCTCCCTCCACCACTGATGCTCAGTAAGCAGTAGTACGTACCATCTACAAGATGTACTACAGGAATTTACCAAGGCTTGTTATACAGCACCCTCCAAACCCACAACCACTACCATCTGGAAAGACGAGGCAGCAGATACCTGGGAACACTACCACCTACAAGTTTCCCTCCAAGACACTCACCATCTTACTTAGAAATATATCGCCATCCCTTCAATGTGACTGGGTCAAATTCTGGAACTAACTTCCTAATGGTATTGTAAGTGTACCTACAGAAAATTGACTGTGGCAGTTCAAGATGGCAACTCACCACTTTCCCTACCTTCTCGGGTGCCATTCAACCACACTGGGGTGTTGTAAATGGTGGAGAGCTTCCTCCATGTTGTTGGAGTTACATTCATCCAGACAGGGAAATCAATGGTTACGGTTAAAGTCAGGAAAGTGGACATGAGGAATATTGTTGGATCAGCTGTGATCCTATTTAACTGTGGAGCAGGCTTGAGGAGCCAAACAGTCAACTCCTGCATTTCTTATAGTCTTATGATGGGCACTAGTCCTTCACATTTCTGACACATCTTGAATGGTGGGCAGGCTTTGAGAACTCATGAAGTGAGCTACTTTATATAGAATTCCTAGCTTCTGACCTATTTGTAATCACAGTGTTTGTATGGCTGGTGCAGGTGAGTTTCTGCTCAATGGTAACGTTTCCCCAGAATATTGATTGTGGGACATTTGGTGATGATAATGCTGTAGAATGTCAAAGGAAGGTGGTGAAATTCTTTCCCATTGAGATGTTATTGCCTGGCACTTGTGTGATGTGAATGTTACTTGCCACTTACTAGCTCAAGTCTGAATGTTATCCAGATCTTGTTGCATATGGACAGGACTGCTTTAGTACCGAGCATTCGCCAGTTTAACTGTACATTGGGCTCTGCCTGGGGCTAATGTGCGCTATGACATCTTCTGCATTTCTACTGTTAGCATGCCAAGTTCTACTTGCTGCCCAGCCACAATGCCAGTTTCTGAGCAGCTGCCTAATAAATCATTAGTTCCGAGGGGGTGGCATCGTGCCCTGACTTACCCCCAACTGAGTTCACCACTAGCATCACCCTCCTCCCTGGCACAGCAGCGGTCTTAGGCAAAGTGAGTGGTGGTGGGGGTGAGGGGTTGTTTGCCAGCTGTCAGGCTGCCGGCCATGGTTGGGCTGGGCTGTGCCGGGGATTGATGGCACTGGCGCTGTGACGGGGCGGCCGCTCCCCTCCCCGTCTGATTGGGGTTTGTGTGGCCGCTGTCAGTGCTGGGCGGATCGGATCGAAGCTCAGCTCAGCCTCCCGTGCTCCGACCGGCCTGTGTGGGATCGGGGCCGGGAGGGAAGTCCGGGAAGGGGGTATAAGGAGAGGGAGAAGATACAGTCAGCGGGAAGGGGAACAATCAGCGGGAAAGATACAAAGTATCGGCCGGGGGAAAGGGAACAATCAGCGGGAAGGATACAATCAGCGGGAAGGATACAAAGTTTCTGGCGGCAGAAAGGAGCCATCCAGCCGGCTGCTAGAGCGAAGGAGTCGAGCGGCCGGGTAGAAGAGTGTGGGCCTGCTGGACAACCGCGAGAGTCGGAGCCAGGGCTCCGCCGGCCTCCCGGAGCCGGCCATGGGGGAGACGAAGATCATTTACCACATCGATGAGCAGGAGACCCCGTACTTGGTGAAACTGCCTCTGCCAGCGGACAGGGTCACTCTGGCCGACTTCAAACAGGTCCTCAACAAACCCAACTACAAATTCTTCTTCAAATCCATGGACCAGGACTTCGGGTGAGGCTGGGGATGAAGGGGAGAGACATTGTCCAGGGGGGCTGGAGGGGTTGGGGAGGGTGGGTGTGTGGGCATCGGTATTAGCGGCAGCTCTCCGAGGCTGGGCTTTGCTGTTTGTTTGGCTCTTTTTGGTTGGTCACTGGTTCAGTGACCCCGGGGCTGGGTTTATTCTTGGAGTCTGGAATGGGAGATGTTCTCTTAAGGCCCGGGATTATGTTTGTTGCCATGGCTGGGAATCGGCTTCGTTTACACGGGGGGAGGAGAATAGTTGCCCTCGGGGTCTCTTTCCTCCCTTCCTCCCCTCTTTCTGCCCTGAATTTAACCCGGAGGAAGATGCTCCGACCTGGGCTGCTGGGGCATTTGTCTGGCTGTTCCCCGTGGCCCTTGTCCTTCTGTGTCCAGTCTCTACCCGGGATCTAGAACCCCTTATCCTCCTCTTTCCCCTACTCCCTCAGAATCTGCCAGGGGTCGGAGTCCGGCTGGGGGGGGGGCGTGAAATTCCGGCCCCGGGTTTCTTGTCAACACCCCCCCGCCCCCCGCCAATCAGGCCGGGAAAATGGCGGAACCTCTTTGTGTCGAGCTTTTTTTGTGTTGAAAGTTTAATATATTTTTAATGGGACAGAACATTCCCCGCGGCCTAAGCCTGGTTTCCTGGGGAGAGGTGGCGTTTCTAGGGATTAGGAATCCCATTCCTGCTGTCAGGAGTTTGGAGAAAAGCTGCTCCAGCAGCTGAGGCCTGGAGGAGGAGATGTGTGTCTGTGACAGCTCCAGGCATTGAGTAGGTGTTGAAATTTGACATTGTCACTCCACTCTGGAGTAAGCTGGAAACCGCAGTTTTACTGAGGCATTCGGGTTGAGAAAATGCAACAGCGTGCATTTATATAGCCCCTTTTAACTTAGCCAAACATCCCGAGGCACTTCACGTGAGCCTTATCAAACAAATGTTGATACCCAGCCACATAGGGATTTTATTTTTGTTGACTGGTGGAGGTGCGAGCTGCTTAGGAGCATCTTAAAGAAAGGAAGTGGAGGAAAGAATTCAAACGCGTGGCGCCCAGGCAGCTGAAGGTACAGACACCATTGGTGGAGTAATGGAAGTTGGGATGTGTAGGAAAATCTGTGGACTATAGAGATCTCAGAGGATAGTAAAGAGGCAGAGATGGTGGAGTTAGGCTGTGGGTGTAACCATCTGAAAGTAAAACAACTTGGATTGCATTTTTAAATGTAGAAAGATAAAGCCCCTTTGGACAGACAGAAGAAAGAAATAAGATAGTTTAGTTGTCCATCAGAAGTCTCTCATCACGTGTGCCACATGGCTTGCAGCCATTAACCTGTTCCTGGCAGTTACGCAGGCACTATCCAACTGCCGTGTGCTCTATTTCACAATGAATTAGTTTGTTTTTATGGCCTCTGCAGATCTCTGCAGCTTTCGTTGCATTTCCAGTATTTCTGTCAGTGCTTGAAATTTCATTTCCAATCATCATTTTGTATCTCAGTGAAGTGCAGTGAATGAGTAAACAAACGTTACGGTGTTTGCTTGCACTTAAATGTTCAATCAACCCAAGAACAATTAGGAACATAGGACTTAGGAGCAGGATTAGGCCACTTAGTCCTTTGAACCTACTTCACCATTCAATAAGATCATGGCCAATCTGGCTGTGGTCTCAGCTCCAGTTTCATGTCGGCACCCAGTAACATTTGCTTCATTTGTCTATCAAACTCAGCCTTGAATGAATGTAATACATTATGCAGTACTGATAGGCACAAGTCTACCTCTGTCATTGAGGAGCACTGAGGTGCTGGTGGGGACAAATCTATCCCTGTATAGCATGGGGGTACTTTGGTAGAGGGGACAAACCTGTCATTGTATAACACCCGTGTACAGTATTTGTGGGCACAGATATGTCTTATTTAACATAGATACAGTACTTGGGACAGGTCTGTGACTGTATAACACTGGGTACAGTTCTGTTAGGGACAGGTCCATCACTGTAACATGGGTACAGTACTGATGTTCACAGGGTCTCTGACTGTGTATAGCATTGAGTTGCAGTCCTGGTGTGCACAGGTCTGTCACTGTATAAGACTTGAACATTACTAGTAAGGGAATGTCCTTCTGTGTATAACACTGGGGTGCAGTACTGGGAGGAAAGATCTGTCAACATTTAAGATTGAGGTGCATTGCTAGGAGGGACAAGTCTGTTGGTGTATAACATTGGATACAGTACTATTGGGGACAGCTCTGTCACTGTATAACATGGGTGCAATACTGATACGTAACTGTGTAACACAGGGATACAGTGCTTTGGGTACAGATCTGTCACTATATAACATTGGTTTACAGTACAGGCAAGTAACAATTTATTGCTTGTAATATTGGAGTACTGTACTGGTGGGGATAAGTCTGTCACTGTAACACAGATATGGTACTGGTGATGACAGGTCCATTGCTGTATAACACTGGGGTGCGGTCGTGGTGGGGTCAGGTCTGTCACTGTGTAACACAGGAACTGTACTGGCAAGGACAGGTTTGCAACTGTATGACACTGGGGGATTGCACACATGTGGACATCTCTGTCATTGTATAAAGCTGTGGTATCATCCTTGTTGAGAGATGTCTGACACTGTGTAACATAGGGATACAGTAGTGGTCAGAATTGGTCTGTCACGTATACATGGGTCCAATAGTAGTGGGTTTAGGGTCCATCATTATCTAACACTGGAGTATTGTATTGCTGGGTTTAGGCCTGTCATGTATAACAATGAGGTGAACTATTAATGGGAACAGCTCTGTCACTGTAGACACTGACACAGTGCTGTTGGGGACAGGTCTTTCTCTGTTTAACACTGTGTACAGTACTGGTGGGGACAGATCTGTAACTCTAAAACACAGATACAGTGCTGGTGAGGACAGGTCTGCCACTCTATAGCACCAGGGTACAGTACTGGAGAAGGGCCTGTTACTTTATAGCATGGATACAGTGGTGGTAGGGACAGGTCTGTTACTGTATAACATGGATACAGTACTGACAGGGGCAAGTCTGTTACTGTATAACACTGTACAGTAATCGGGACAGATATGTTACTGTATGACACTGGGCTACGGTACTGGTCGGGACATGTATTTCCCATGGGTGCAGTACTAGTGAGGGCAGGTTTGTTGCAGTATTTGCTAGCTGATGTGTGGTCATGGCATAATGCAAGCTTGTTGTGCAGAGGGAATGATTTGAGAGGATATATTCTCAGCAACGTGGATTTATTTAGCATGCTTAATTGAATAAAACATTTCAGTGTGCTTCACAGGAACATCATCTGATAATATTTGACACTGACCTCATTCTCAGGATGTTGGAATAGGTGACCAAAAGCTTTGGTAAAGATGAGCTTTTAAAGTGTGTCTTGAGGAGACCGTGAGGTAGAAAGTGTGGGGCAGGAATTGTAGGAGTTTGCTGCCTACACAGCTGATGACATGGCCACTAATTTGAACGATTAAAATTGGGGATGTGTGATTAATTTGAATAGAAGAAACACATCTTGAAGTGTTGTGAGAAGTAGTGGATGTACGGTAAGATGAGGCAAGGCCTTTTAAAGATTTAAAATGAAAATTTTAAATCAATGTCAGTCAACAAGCATTGAGCTGATGGGAGAAGAGAACTTGGTGTAAGTGACAGAAGGGGTAGCACGGTGTGGATTAGCTCTAATTTGCAGTGGCTGTAAGTTGGGAAGTTTAGCCAGGAGGTAAGTAGAATAATTGAAAACAGCTAACAAAGGGTTATGTATAGACTGTGTGCCCACATCGTGATGTAGGGTTTGAAACCAAAACTGATACTGGTAGAAAAAGCAATCTTCGAAATATTATTTTACAGTATTATTAACGCAATGACAAAAAAATCAGTTCATGTTTTAGATTGAATTCAAGTGAGTGAATGCATAACAGTGGGATAACATTGGGATCCACATGGTAACGCAATGGTCACTCTCTCAGAAGATCAGAATCACCAGCCCCACAGTGAGAATTGAACTCTGTCAGGGAGGCTCATGTCTTTTATGGAACAGCATAGAGGAAACTTCAGTGTATCTAACCCCATGCTGTACCTGCCCTGAAAGTTCTTAATGAGATAGCATGGAGGGAATGTAATTCTGTATTTTATCAAAGTCACAAATGACATTCATTATGACAAAAATAAATTCTTTCTTCATGCCAACCTGTCCTACTCCTGCAGTGTTACCTTTCGATCCATCCTTGGCCGCTATGTCATTCACTTATTGTCTCTCAGTGATATCGTCAGAAAACAGGGTGCTAGTATCCACATTTATGCTGAAGACATCCAGCTTTACTTTTACCACCACCTCTCTCGACACTTCCACCCCCTCAAAGTTATCAGACTACATCCTCACACCAGTGCCAACATTACAATGACATATTTCCATCTCTGTAATATCACTGAGTTCAGCACTTCTCAACTCATCTATTGCTGAAACCCTCATTCTTGTCTCCAGACCTAACTATTTCTAGACACTTCAAGCTGATTTCGTACATTCTGGATTTCTCCAGGGCCAGACAGCTTGTTAAAGCCTTGGTCCAATAGCTAAACTCCAGCAAGGAGATGAGAATGACTGTGACTGTGCTTGGTCGTATAGTAGCATTTGATGGAGTGTACCTTCAAGGGACTCCAGCCAAAAAGAAATCAGGAGAAGTCAGGAAAATGTCTTCACTGGTTAAAGCCATACCTATTACAGAAGAGGAGTATGGTGGTTGTTGGACGACTGTTCACCTCAGCATCATGGCATTGGTGAAGGAATTTCCTTGCTCAATGTTCTGAATGTAACCATCTTAAACTGCTTCATTAATGACATTGCCTCCACTTCTAAGGTCAAAAGTGGGAATGTTGCTGGTGATTTCACAATGTTCAGAGCTATTCACGACTCCTCAGATACAGAGCAACACTATTTTCTTGAAAAACTATTTTCTGCATCTGTGTTCAGTGTAAAGAGAGCTT